CACATGCACACGCACACGCACACCCGTGCCTAGAGGAGCTGAGGGTGAAGGGGATGGCACTCCTGATGCCCACTCAGTCCAAGGCGCCCTGTGTCCTTGCTCCCTCCCTGATGCACCCCAGGAGTTGCATCTGCTGGCTTAGGGCTGTCTTCATTTTCTTGCTAGGGGTTAATACTTTAATGCTACCGTTCTTTCCTTCTTCTTTAAGTAGGGTGATGGGAAAACTTCAAGTAGTGGCACAGTCTCATCTGTCGGGAAGATCTTTTAATTTAAATAGACATGTCTGCGTGGTTGTAACTGCCCAAACTATAAAAGGAAGCCTTAAAATTAGTTAGGAGGGCCATGTATTACTGAAAACAGCTCAGCTGCCCCATGAGGGTAAGTGAGGATGTTGCCTGAAGACTAATTAATGAAGCATCTGTCTGCTTCTGTGAAGTCGTCCCAGCCCTCCCCGTCTCACAGAGCGAGCGAGCGAGCGAGCAGGCGGGCCAGAGGTAGGAGGCTTGCTTCAGGCGGAGTCTCAAGTGGATCCTTTAGTATTAGTCTCTCTGTCTCTCTGTCTCTCTCTCTCTCTCTCTCTCTCTCTCTCTCAGATGTTCACTTTTCTTTTGGAAGGGAGATAGGACGGCCCAGAGTATATTGGATCAATTATGATTGTCATTGTCCCTTGATGCACTAATAACAAAACAACCATCTGTGACCAAATGGCCCTAACTTCAGTCTGTCAGGTTTAAAGTACAAGTAAAAGAGTTTAGAAAGACCGTATATGCGGCTTTTTACTTCTAAAATTATTTTCACACTAAAGAAAAAGTAGATAACTAAGTTGGTCAATAGATGTCTGAACTTTTAAACCAAGTTTGTTGAAAAGAGTGGAAAGAATATTAATATTCTTTATTAATACTAATTTGACCTTATTAAATTGACCTTAAAAGTTGCTGTGATTTAAATAGGCATTTCTCCAAGGAAGATATACAAATGACCAATTAGCTCATGCAGAAATGCTTAA